CACACAAAACTTAGGAATATACCTAACAAAGGAGTCAAAAGACCTCTACAAGGAAAACTACAAAATACTGCTGAAAGAAATCATAGATTACACAAACAAATGGAAACACATCCCATGCTCATGGATGGGTACAGTCAACATTATGAAAAGGTTTACTACCAAAAACACAATCTCCATAAAAATACCAACATCATTCTTCACAAAGTTAGAAAACACAATTCTAAAATTTATAAGGAGTCAAAACTGAGCCCACATAGCCAAAGCAAGACTAAGCAAAAAGAACAAATCTGGAGGCATCACGCTACCTGATTCAAACTATACTATAAGGCGATAGTCACCAAAACAGTGTGGTAATCATATAAAAATAGGCACATAAACCAATGGAACAGAATAGAGAACCCAGAAATAAATATAAATACTTATAGCCAACTGAATTTCAACAAAGTAAACAAAAACAAAAACTGGGGAAAGGACAGCCTTTTCAACAAATGGTGCTGGAATAATTGGCTAGCCACATGTAGGAGATTGAAACTAGATCCTCATATCTCACCTTATACAAAAGTTAACTCAAGATGGATTAAGGACTTAAAGTTAAGACCTGAAACCATAAAACCTCTAGATGATAACATTGGAAAAACTCTTCTAGACATTGGCTTAGGCAAGGATGTCATGACCAAGAACTCAAAAGCAAATGCAATAAAAACAAAGACAAATAGCTGGGACCTAATTAAACTAAAGAGTCTTTGCATGGCAAAAGGAACAGTCAGCAGAGTAAACAGATGACCCACAGAGTGGGAGAAAATCTTCAAAGACTGATATCCAAAATCTACAACAAACTCAAAGAAATCAGCAAAAACAAACAAACAATCCCATCAAAAAGTGGCCTGAAGACATGAGTAGACAATTCTCAAAAGAAGATATACAAATGGGCAACAAACATATGAAAAAATGCTCAACATAACTAATGATCAGGGAAATGCAAATCAAAACCACAATATGATATCACCTTATTACTGCAAGAATGGCCATAATCAAAAAAATTAAAAAAAGGAGATGTTGGTGTGGATGCAGTGATCAGGGAACACTTCTACACTGCTGGTGGGAAGGTAAACTAGTACAGCCACTATGGAAAACAGTGTGGAGATTCCTGACAGAACTAAAAGTAGAACTACCATTTGATCCAGCAATCCCACTACTGGGTACCTACCCAGAGGAAAAGAAGACATGACTCAAAAAAGATACTTGCACACACAAGTTTATAGCAGCACAATTCACAATTGCAAAATCATGGAACCAATCCAAATGCCCATCAATCAACAAATGGATAAAGAAACTTTACATATATAATGAAATACTATGCAGCCATAAAAAGGAATGGATTAAAAACATTTGCAGTGACCTGGATGAGACCGGAGACTATTATTCTAAGTGAAGTAACTCAGGAATGGAAAATCAAACACTGAATGTTCTAACTGATATGCGGAGGCTAGGCTATGAGGACATAAAGGCATAAGAATGATACAGTGGACTTTGCAAACTTGGCAGGGAAGAGTGGGAGGGGGGCGAGTGATAAAAGACTACAAATATGGTGCCGTGTATACTGCTTGGGTGATGGGTGAACCAAAACCTCACAAATTACCACTAAAATTCTTACTCATGTAACCAAATACCACCTGTACCCCAATAACAGAAACATAGATATAAGAATTTTTTAAAAAGTGTCAGTCTGCAAAGGATCTACTTGGGTTTTTCTTTACAACCGTTTTTTGGATACTCTGGTAGGAAACAACATTCTACAAGGCTCCCTTCTACCCATCATCAGTTTCTGTTCAAATCAGGTGGAGCTAGAATCATGATGACAAAGTTATATTAAGAGTGTGCACCAGTAAGCAAGTACTATGAGTTAGGCTTCAAAGAAAGCTCTTTTTCATAACTGTTTTCATGGCCCACTACATGTTACATTTGAAAAAGAAGATGAAATTGTGATTCTTGGTCACAAATAAACCAAGTCTTTCTTTCAGTATTTTAGTTCAAGCTCAGAATTATAATTGTATATTTTTGCCTTTTACTTTCACATATTTAAGATGATTAAGGCTTATGTAGTGGCAAAATGCTGACCAGTTCTGTGTATTCCTCCATATCTTAAGAGAAACAAGTAGTGCACAGCCAAAAAAAAAAATGCAAAATCCATCTGAAAATCTCTCACCTAAAAATTTGGACTAGGTAAAGCTTCTGATTATTATACAGAGGTAAGAGGTTAAATTTGCCTTTATTTTCCAACTTGGTTCAACACTTAGCTATTGTAGCAATGACTGAAGATTTGATAGATTTCTCTTTAACTTCAAGCAATTTGCATTTTCTTGGCCATCTCTCAGTTGAAAGCACATAAACCATAACAACCGGTGTTCAGTAAATGTGTACATAACATAGTTGATCAAAAATTGATGAACCTCCAGTGATTGATGCAAAATGCCGAAATGTATTAATTGCTCTATATACCCAAGGCTTTGACCTCACTCCAACAAAACCAATTAAGGCACTGGCATAAGAGTTGCCAGCACAGAATAAATATATGTAACCTCAAATTACATTCATTACCAAAACTGTGGCAATCATTGTTGCGTCAAAATCAGAGTAGTATAATGATAGTTAGATGGCAAGAGGTACCAAGATCCTGCCTTAGACATCAGCCTTCTCGTCATGCCAGGACTTAGAGGAGAGATATCCACAAGAAGCAATGGTAATTAGGAAATAAATACCTATAATTCTTTATGTTTGTGGGCCACAATTCAAGGCTGAAAGTTTGTAGAAGTTGTTATAGACAATCATTCTCCACCGCTTGTTCCTACTTGAATTAAGCCCACATAGCTTTAGGCTGAAGCAAGGTGATACACTGAAATAAGGCAGTGTGCTAATTAGTTTTTATTGTTGTAAAGGAATACCAGAAACTGGGTAATTTATAAAGAAAAGAGTTTTATTTTGGCTGTTACGTGGGATGTACAGGAAATGTGGTGCTGGTATCCGCTTCTGGTGTGAGCCTCAGGGAGCTAACTACAACCATGGAGGAAGGCAAAGAGGGAGCCAGTGTATCATACCTTGAGAGACGAAATAAGGCAGGGCCAGGTGCCAGGCTCTTTTAAACAACTAGATCTTGCTTGAACCACTAGAGCAAGAACTCATTCATTGCTGTGGGAATGGCACCAAGCCATTCATAGGGAATCTGTCCCCATGACTCAAACACCTCCCATCAGGCCTGCCTCCAACATTGGAGATCACATTTCAGCATGAGGTGTGGAGGGGAAATACATTCAAACTGTATCATTCTGGCCCTGGCCCTCCAGATCTCAGGTTTTTCTCACATTGTAAAATACCCTTCCCAATACTCCCCCAAAGTCTTAATTCATTCCAGCATTACCTCAAAGTCCAAAGTCTCACCTGAGACTTAAGGCCAAGTTCCTTCCACCCATGAGCCTATAAAATCCAAACAAGTTATTTACTCCCAAGATACAATGGTGGTACAGGCATTGGGTAGACATTCTCGTTCCAAAGGAAAAAATCAGCCAAAAAGAAGGGGGTGACAAACCCCATGCAAGTCTGAAACCCAGCAGGGTATTCATTAAATCTTAAAGCTCCAACATAACCTGCTTTGACTCCATGTCCTTCATGCAGGACACATTAGGGCAACAGGTGGGCTCCCAAGGCCTTGGGCAGCTCTGCCTCTGTGGCTGCCATCACAGGTTGAAATCTGGTACCTGCAGCCTTTTCATGCTGATGGTGCAAGCTGCCAGTGGCTCTACCATTCTGGTGTCTGGAGAGTGACAGCCCTGTTCTCACAGCTCCACTAGGCAATACCCTGGTGGGGACTCTGTGTGAGGGCTCCAACCCCACCTTTCCTCTTGGCACTACCCCAGTAGGGGCCTTTTGTAGGGTTCCACCCCTGGAGCAGGCTTCTGCCTAGGCACCCAGATTTTCTGATACATCTGAAATCTAGGGAGAATCTGCCAAGCCTCTTTCATGTTTGCATTTTGTGTGCCTGCAGACTCAACAACATGCGGAAGCTGCCAAGACTTACAGTTTGTGCTCTCAGGAGTGGTATCCCCAGCTGTACCTGGAACCCTTTGAGCCATGGCTGGAACAGTAGTCTGGATGCGGGGAGCAGAATCCCAAGGATGACCAGGGCAGCAGGACACAGAACCAGGTCCCTGAAACCATTTTTTCCTCTTAGGCCCCTGGTCCGGTGATGGGGCCAATCACATCTCTGAAATGCCTTCAAGGCCCTTTTCTCATTGTCATAAATATTAGCACTTGATTCCCATTGAGTCATGCTAAAGTCTCTAGCGAGTTATTGCTTCATAGCCTGCTTGTGTTCCTTGCCTGAAAATGCTCTTTCCTTCTCTATCACATGATGAAGCTGCAAATTTTCCAAACTTTTATGCTCTGCTTCCCTTTTAAATATAAGTTCTCACTTTAAGTTATTCCTTTACTCCCATATCTTATCATATGCTGTAAGAAACAGCCACACTACTTCTTGAATGCTTTGCTGCTAAGAAATGTATTCAACCAGATATCCTGGGTCATGACTCTTAAGCTCAAGCTTCCACAAACTCTAGGTTATGGGCACAGTGCAGTCATGTTCTTTTCTAGGGCATAACATAGGTCATCTATGCTTCAGTTCCCACTTAGCTCCATGTTTCCATTCAAGGCCTCATTAGCCCAGCCTCCACTGTTCATATTTATGTCAGAATTTTTGTCACAACCATTTAAACAGTGTCTAAGAAGTTTCAAACTTTCTCTCAGATTCCTGACTTCATCTGAGCCCTCCAAACTCTTCCAACCTCGGCCCATCACCCAGTTCCAAAACTGCTTCAACATTTTTGGGTATCTTTATAGCAACAACCCATTCATTAGCACCAATTTTCTTTGTTAGTCCATTTTCATTGCTATAAAGGAACACCTGAGACTGGATAATTTGTAAAGAAAGGAGGTTTATTTTAGCTTACAGTTCTGCAGGCTGTATAGGAAGTGTGTGCTGCTGGCATCTGCTTCTGGTGAGGACCTCAAGGAGCTTGCAGTCATGGTGGATGGTGAAGAGAAAGCTGCTGTATCACATGGCAAGACAGAAAGCAAGAGATATTAGAGAGGGGGTTGGTAGACTTTTAAACAACTAGCTCTTGCACGAACTACCAGAGCAAGAACTCACTCACTACCATAAAGAGGGCATCAAGCCATTCAGGAGGGATCTACCTCCATGACCCAAACACCTCCCACCTCCCCCTGCTTCAATCAAAAGCAGGACTCAGAACAAACATCTCCCAGGCCCACCTCCAACACTGCAGATCACATTTAAACCTGAGACTGAAGAGGATGCACATCCCAAATATACCAGGCAGAAACATAATCAGGAACAGACAACACTGAGGAGCATTCATTTTTCCTGGTTCTTTGCCCAAGACTGAGCATTGCCACAAGGGTAAAGATAATAAAAGGAAGATAAAGTAGCTTGGCCTCATCCCATTTAGGAATACCATGGCCTTTTAATTCCATTCTTACATGGAATATATAAAACATGGCAAGCTATAATCAATAACTAAATGTGATATTGACTAATATTTGGGTGAACCAGAAATGCTTTCAGCTGAAAGTAACAAAAAAGCCATCTAACACTGACTTAACCAAGGGTGTATTTTTCTGATGCAAGAAAGCTGCAGGTGGGCAGTGGTTAGTGTTGGTTCAGCAGGTCAAAGATGGCAGAGACTGAATCTCCACCATTCTCTTGATCTTTCTGTCAGCTCTATTACCCTATGGTTGCAAAATGACCAACAAAGTCCAGGCATCACATGTGAATTCAAGGCTAGAAGTTAGGAAAGCGGGTTCCAGTATCACTATGCCTTTATTCAGAAAATGAGCCTCTTCCCCAAAACTCTCAGTAGAATTCAGTTTATATATAATTGAACAGAATTTTGTCATATCACCACTCTTTGGCTGCAAGAGAGTATGGGGAAGTGACTATTTGGACAGGCGCACAAGGGAGTTCTCCATCTTGGGGAAGAGTAAGAGGTAGGACTGAAGGCATGATAGAAGTGAGGAAATAAGAGGCTTTAGGAAGATCACATAGTAAATAACTGTCAACAGATTTTGAAGTAAGATCACTAGAGGAGAGATGGAAACATTCTCTTCACTTATTTCACACACACAGGAAAATCATTTCAAGAAAGAACAGAACAGTACACATCAGCATATATTAGCGGGATGAGTGAAAAGGGCTTCCCTAGACCAACTCAATCAAAAGCAGGATTCAGATCATGTCTGGAGCTTCACTGAACCTTCATCAAAACTGGCAGGCCAAAGTCACAGGTAATTATAGTCTTCCTTGGTATTTTAATCTACCAAACAATAAGATATGGGTAAATAATTGTCACACTAAGACACAGAAGGAACTCTTGCATTTGACAATGCATGTCCTGGTATTGAAAATGCCTAAATAAATGAAATATTTTATAATCAATTGAATAGTGATGAGAAAGACAACTGGCATTTACTACTTCTTAAAGAACTTCAAATATAAAACTTAAAGACAAAATATAAAAAAGTAGAAAAGGCTCTGCAAAGCTTTTCTAATAACTAATTGACAATGTGGTAAGGCTATAGCAGGGTAGGGCATGCTATTTGGCCTTATTTTTTCCATGTATATGAAAATTCAATTGAGGCAAAATCTTTTCACCAGGACTATAATTTCACAGTATGTTTTTCAAGCTAATGAGACAAAACATCTACTACTTAAGTTCTAAGTACCCCAATACCAAAGGGTGTTGAAGAAGAATACTTTTCATTTACCCAGTTAGCAAAATGGTTCTGAACTCCTTCTATCAACTAGAGTCACTGGGAGCTTTTAAAATTACAGATGCATTGGCAATCCCACTGCTCAAAAATTCTAATTTAATTGGTTTGGGGTAGAGCCCAGGCATAGACATATCTATTTGTTTGTTTGTTGCCCCTGTGTGGATTCCAAAGTGAAGCCAGAGAACCATTGGATGAAGAAAATAATACTCAACAGCACTGAAGATGCCGTGAGCTTGGAGCACACATAAACACTGAGTAAAAATTAGTATCATCTGTCTAAAATGTAATTTGGCAATATTTCATATGCCCAAGCAATTGACTTTCTTTCTAAGAATATATCCTAAAACAACAAGCAAAGAATCAAAGATTAATATACTAAAATGTTCACTGCAATATCAGTTATTAGTAAAAACATTCAATAAGAGTACAATTAAATAGTCTGGCACATTTGCTTTAAATATTTTCAAAGAAAAAGTTCAAAAATGAGGAACCACTAATGAAGTTTAAATAAAAGTAGAATATGAGTGTATATATTATGGTATAATTCAAATCATATGAAAAAATGCATACAAAAAAGCAAAGTAAGAACATTAAGGTAGTAGTCGCAAAGTATTAACAGTAGTCTCATGGTGGGATTACATTGGTAATGTTTATTTTTATACCTTATGTATTTTTCAAATCATCTATAAGCACATGTTAATTTTGTAATCAGAAAAGCAAACATCTCTTGCCAGAGCCTTTGGTTGTAGCTTTTGTGGCTACTCATTTGTTTAGAAAACCCTAATCTGATTGCTGTCATATGATCTGAGAATAGGGACTTCTAGCTTGAAGAAAAATGGAGGTTTTCATTGTTAAATAATGAGGTTAATAGTTGGGGAAGAAGTTCTCAAAATATTTTTTAACTTTCCATAGCTTCTTTATGCAATGAGCTCTTTTATTTTATATAAAATATAACAATCTCAAAATGCAATTCTAAAATGAGCATGACTGTATATAGTCAGAATGCATAACAAAATCAGCCCAATTTTCTATACTATTGTTGCCAAAGATGTTACTCTCCTAGGGGAAATTTACCCAGCACTGTTTCTCAATTTGCTAAATATAATAAATAATCTGCCATATAATAAACAACAAAACTGTAGATATTTATTTGTAAAGATATTCTCCTAGACATGGATACTTTCTCTTTTTACTCTCCTATTTGTTTCCCTTTGTTCAAATCATCTTCCCCCAAGAGGCAATCTAGTGTATTGCCTCTCTAAATGTAAATATTTACAATATTTACATTTGCAGTATTTAGTTGTGCTTCATGGGAGTTCATGGCTGAGCCAAGCACACTGTAGCATTGGTTTTCAATTTTACATTCCCAAAGGAGACAGCTGGCTTCATCTCATGATTACTGAGTTAATTGCTGTTTTGATGACTTGGGGTAATGACTTGTATAACCCTTTAATTTAAAGCATTTCAGAAAATATACACAGACGCTGCTGGCTATGGCCAAGAGTCCAGTTTGAGTCACCATGTTACAGAAAAAGATGGAAGAGAAAAGCCTTCACTTCCATGCCCTGAGAATTTAGGAAAAGAACCTGACCACACTACTACCTCTGTAGAGTGAGAACCTCTTGCTATTAACTTGTCAGCCATGAGTAGAAAAGGGGCTCTAGCTCAATGATTCGGGGGAGCTAGACTTGAACTTCTACTATTCAAGTCAGGAGGTTTGAATATGCTAAAGGGAAGGGGTGGGTAGTTACCATGGGACACACAGAGGAATATTACAGCTTATATGGATTAAGGTCAGCCTAATTAGTGCATGGAAACAGCCAAACTAAAAGCTGGTGTGATTAGAGAGTCTACATTTGTTAAGGGCAAAGATAATGGGCTATAGATTGTATTCTAGGGAGGCCTAGCAAAGGAGCGACATGTAAATGAGCTCAGTACAACCTACACAACAGGCAATTTGTCTCTGGGCACTTCTCACCTGCTCTACAAGCTGGCTTTTCCCCAGCACCAATCCTGAGATCTTGTTTTTGCTTTCAAACAACTGTCTGGCTAATTCCCACTAACTCTAAAACAGCAAAGGGCCTGGCTGGCAACACCCCAAGTGGTGATGCTCCTAGAGTCTATTCACATTGTGGAGCAAGAGGAGACGGGGAGGTGGAGAAGTCCAGAAAAAAAGAACTTGCCTGCGGCCTTGCAGGATCATCAGCTTCTGTGAAGGGGCCTAAGGCAGCTCCATCTCACTGTCATCATCCCAGGACAATAGGGAGATATGGGGACTGTGCTACAATAAAAGGGACCTCCAGATGACCTGAGACCTCACTTAAATTTAAAAGAACAAATCAAGACAGTACTGTCATTTCAGAAAAGCTGCTGACTGTTCATCTAAACTTTAGAGTTTGCCCTACCCCCATCTCAGCTCTGCCAGACCCCAGAAATTCAGCAGGGATTTAAGACTTTGATCATGGAGAAAATATTAATAATCATGCTATAATAACAAATAACTATTGAACATTTACTATGCTTCAAGCACTGTTACAACTTTAAATGAACTTGGGTATATTATCAGCATCATCATCAATTCTGAGATGCAAAAACTACCTCAGAAAGGTGGACAGTTCTGTCCTGGATGAAATAGGAGGAATGGGCGGGACCAGGATGGCAGGCAAGCAGTGCCATGACAGGGCTGTGTTGTAAACCACTATCGGAGGAGGGAGAGGAGGGGCAGAAAGAGAGGAGGCAGGGGAACAGTGATTGTGAGGCAGCCACACCTGAGTGCTAATTCTATGCCAACCTCCTTGCTATCATAACTAACAGCATAACAACTTAAGGCAGTTTGTTTCATCAACTCCTGTTTTACACATGAGGAAAAGGAGGTTTTTAAGGGATTACATGACCCCCAGCTGATAATGCTGGAGCTAGCATTAGAATCCAGACAGATGCTCCAGTGACATTTGACTCAATATTCTTGCTGCTGCCAGGAAGAGGCACTTACAGAGCAGTCTGGCTGGAAAAGTGAACTTTGAGGATCTTTTAACTTCTAGTAGGATGAGGAAAGTTTTCATTTCTTTCTCACTTTGTTTGATACTTTTTTTTTTTTTTTTTTGAGATGGAGTTTCACTCTTGTTGCCTAGGCTGGAGTGCATTGGAGCAATCTCGGCTCATTGCAACCTCTGCCTCCCAGCTTTAAGCGATTCTCCTACCTCAGCCTCCCAAATAGCTGGGATTACAGGCACGTGCCACCATGCCTGGCTAATTTTTT